CTGATCACAGGGCAAGGAATCGCCTCACTGAAGTAGCCCGTGCATTCTGCACAAGAGTAAAAAGAACTCAACATGCATCTAAAGGTAGTGAAATAGGTAGTGGACACTACCTGAGCAGATGCAGTGTTATGTTTAATGCTACCAAAATCATTACATAAACTCTCTGTGCGAGCTAAAGGAGACTCACCAAAAGAGAAGCAAATTTATGTTGGACAAATCGCTTTACAAACAGAATCCTTCCAGCACCCAAGAGGAATTTATTTTTGCATTTTGCATTTGGAGAAGGCATTGCTCTGCTTTCTCCAAATATTTTCACCTTTATTCATGTATTTTAAGGAAACATACATAACCAAGATTATTCAGCTCCCCCCCACCCCCAAGTCAAACTGATGTTGTGAGCACGACCTAAAAAACTGTAAGGCATCTCTTTGCTCACATCGGAAAGCTATGTGGGCGTCTGTGTGCTCGTGTGTGTGTGCACACACAGGGAAGAGGGGAAGACCTCCTTACTGAGTTCCTTGAGCGAGAGGGAAGGCAGGCGACTCGAGTAGGCCAGGGCACCACGACAGATACTTGCTGTACCTGCTGCTCTAGGTCGCTACACTTCTACCTCTCTGCATCGTAGAGCAATGCTGACAATCTTCTTCCTCCCAGTCTTCCCATGAAATCGTGCTAACATTTGCTTTCTGCTCCTGACACTTGTGCCACCTCCTTAGCTTTAAAGCAGCCCTAGGCAAGAGTTTAAACAAATGGCCCCAAGAACAATATCTTAAATTAATGGAATTCACATAATCCCTTAGAGTTGTGAAGATCCTGGCCTCACCATTTCAGCAAAACCAGAGCCAAAGCAATACTGAACAGGAATGTCAGACTCCAGAGAGTCATTAATAGCAGAAGAAGCCCCCAAACATCATCCCCAAAAGATCTGTGTTTTAAATCTCTTCAGAGTGATTTAGTTTTCACAAGCAAAACACTAGGATCAGATATGTTGGTTGTTTATCAATTTTGCAGATAAGTATAAGACGCAAGGAATTAATGTAATGATTCCAAACTAATAGAAGAGATAAGACTACATGCAGGGTTTTAAATTGATTGTTTTGGAATGAGAACCAGTCAACTCACCCACTAAGCTGTGCAGCCCTTTAAAGTATATTTCTGAGCCTCAAGCATCACCCATATTGCTACAGGGAAAAAGAAATAAAATGTACACACATAAAAAGAATTTCAGTAAATACACAGAAAAGAGACGAATGGTGACAAATACGCAAAGAACATCAAAAGAAAACACAAAGAAGAAGATAGGGAACAAGAGTGACTTAACAGGAAAATTTTGAGCAGTTGCTCGAAGTGGTGTCCACAGAGAGCTGCTATGTGTTTTGTGCAAGCTCTTCTTGTTTCCAGCTGCTAAGTTCACACTGAAAGAAGCTAAAAATACATTAAACACTTTCCAAATATTATTTTCCCATGTAAGCAATTGGTATAAGTTGCCACAGAGATGTTGTTCTCTTGCCAGTGAGAAGGGAAATAGTATACAATGCTGACAACAGAAGTTGTATTCTACGAAATCTATTGTCTTGGACAAGTTGCAGTCCAGAATATGGGAAAGTTTGAAAAGGCATTATTTTAGTTACAAGAATTCCCAACTGTTCCCCTATTCCATCGAGGCAATATATGAAAATGATACTTAAAGATGAGGTTTTTATCACCCATGAGAAAAGGTATACTCTGCATTACTCAAAGGCATAATATGTGCAACTTTTCTAGCAATCAAGCTTTGGTGTTTCAATGAGAAAAAAAGAGAGAGAAGAGTGGCAAATACAATTTAGGTATACCGTCTCCTGACAAACTAAAGTTTCACAATGCTGCAGATTTAAAATACAAATGTACCTGCTTAGCATTCAGGACTCTCCTCAACAGTAAATTCAGCTCTATACAAAAGTCAGGGGGGTGGGGGCGGGGAATGGAACACAACACATACCAAAACCCCATCAGTTCTTTCCATTAAATGTGAAGTATAACAGGCTTTTTTATGACATGCCTTCTTCCAAAAATAGCAATGATTACACTGCTCAACTCCCACGTGCCCCCCAGCTTGACTTTTTGACACTTAGGACATTATACATTCTCAGTCCTGAGGAATGATCCAAAGTTTGTGGAGTCAAGAGGACTCTTTCCATTGCCCAGAATCCAAACTACAGAATGTGAAATACAACAATACCTAAGGAAGTAAGTTACTCCAATTTCTTACAACATTAAATCTTCTTTTAAAGCCAAACATGATAGATTTTTTTAGGAACTCTGAAATCCACAGCTTTCCACAGTTTTGGAAAGATGCTGCAAGTCACAGCAGTGATAATTGCCAATTACAAGGCACACGTGTGAGCAAGACGTTTTTTTTTTCTTGCAGACAAACAAGAAGATTATACAGCCTATTCTCTTTGTGGGGTTGAGGCGGGGGAAGCGTTAAGATTGCAGCTGCTGCAGAAGTGGAAACTGCAACTCCCTTGGAGCTTGTACCGACTGTGTAGCCTAGCATGCCATTAAGGGATGCTACTGTACTACAGATACTGTTCCATTTTGTGTTTTTTCCTGAATGAGACAAGTCTGAAGCTTTGGCCTGCTGTAGTTAATGGAAAGTCTTGTAATACATCTTGCAATATTCCACCCAAGCTCCAATTCAGCTCAATATCCTGCCTATCATAAGTTCCTAAATAACTACTTAGGAGAGTATTCTTCAATAATACAGCTTTCCTTCGTGTCTTCTGTGACATTTAGTTTTGAGATTTATCACATTCCTATTGCCCAATCATGATCTATTTTTTATATATAAAAGAGGACATACAGCGAAGGCTAGCTGGAATCAAAACCATTTCAAATAGCCTATATCTGTAAGGAACTTATCTTTACGAAATATGATTTTTTAAATAGAAATCTAACATCTCTTACAACAATGATCTAAATTCCACCAAAAACAAGAAAGGACATATCAATACTTTAGGGTAAGATATACTGTACTATAGCTTGGCTTTCTTCATTATGCTGAAGAATCATGTCTGGCTGATGTATTTATTCTGTAATGTTTAACTATAATAGAAAATAGATGAAGTTCAAATGAAAACACTGTTTAGACTATGTCAACAGAGCGTAAAACTAAATGAAGTGATTCTGTATTGACTATAAAAACATATTTGCTAATAGTAAAGTTACTAATGGTTATCTATCAAGATCACAACATGAAATAATTCCGCATCTTAAGAACTGTATTAAAGCAGCAGACACACGAAGTTAGATGTAATTTTTTGATTTTGCAAAACAGCATCATGCAGTGCACTTTATTGCTATTTTATCATTAGTGTAAATAATTCAAAAAAAACCCCAGGAAATCTCCAGCTCACTTTTTTCTTTTTTTAAATTGCAAGTCACCAAAGGACTTTCTGCTAAGACAGCCAAGGCTCACTTTATACTCGCTAGCAAAAGGAAATCAAATAACAGTATTTTGTATACTGAAACAACTGCTTTGTTACAAAGGGAAGGATTCAGAAAACTAGAACAAATGACACTGCTGTAAAAACTATAAGCCTTTTAGGCTCAGTTCAAAGACTTATGCATTCTTCTACAACAGACTGAAGTTTTATATTCATCTCAGCAAATCAATCCACTAATAGGCATCAGTCATCAACACCTAAGTAAAGATCTGCCATTTGAAACAGCTTTGATGTGATTGAAGACTCGCACACAGTCGTAAGTATGACAGAACAGCTTAGCTATTAAAATGTTTTATCTAGCAAAGAACTGTTCATCCTAATTGACTGAAATACTCTTTGAACGCTATTATTGCAAGGCTACTTCACTACGCAGCGCTTTAGTGCATAGCCACTTGACTTGTATCTTGAGATCCAGCACAACCACATCAAATCTTGTTAGAATATTTTCTCACACATACTTTTGTCAAGAGACCAAAACAATAAAGCTGACTGTCATTTTTACAACCAGTTGCTTAGTTAATTCGATACTGAAACGTACTGGGATTCATTATAAAAGCTGCATGCAATCAGCCATTTCTATCAATCTTTCTTTTTACTGCACTAATAGAATGAATCCTACTAACCACATCAGCTGAAATGGGTTGGCAGGACTGGATGGAAGCTATTCCTCTTGCACCGAGCCCAACCTCTCACCGCGAGAGGTGCGGTGGCAGGGGCTCCTTTAAGCAGTGTCGTGCAGCCCTGGCCCAGCTCCAACGCTGACCATATGTCAAGCTGACAGATAAGAAGCCGGAGACAGCCATCTGAAAACAACTGCACGCCGCCCCGGCCACCAGGCAGTGAGGGTTTCTAGGCCTACCTCATTACTCATTTCAAAGCCAATTTTAAACACACCGAAAGTAAACATACCTGACTCTCCCCTCCCCGCCCCCCCCAAAAAAACCAACAACAAAAAAACCACCAAACCAAAACACCAGCACAAAGCCATTATTAGAAAGGCTATGTGACGATACATTCTATTTCAGGAAGTTTCCACTGAATATCATAACTGATCACCAGAAATACAGTTGGAAGATTAATAACAGTTTGTGCCTATAACATTTTTCCTTCTCCATTATATTCACAGTGTGTTAACAATTTGCAAGAAAAAGGAATCAAACGTACCAGCGACTGCCACCAAGATTACATTTTACAGAATCAAACACAACGCTACTGATGTAATACCTCAAATGAAGGGTGATTTGATTTTTACACTGTATCTATTAATGCATTGTAGAGTTCATCAGGTTTTACCATTATTTTTGTTACCAGGAAGTATGTCATATCAATTCCCTTATGTAGGCAAGCATTATCTATCAGCTTTTATTCCAAAATTACTAAGCAATCACCACAAAGGAATAGCTAAAACTTACTCCAGTCCCCTATGCCATTTCCATAATTCCATATATTCCATTTCCATAATTCCATATATTCCATTTCCATAATTCCAAATTAATAAAATCCAGGTATACTTACCTACAGTTTGGAGGAGGGTCTAATGTAATTTCTGCAAGTTCTTTCTGAATTCTTAAAAGAAAAAAAAAATCATTATCAGGATTTTTTTGCATTATATTTCTTTCAACTTTATGAACATTTTCTACAGCAATCAATAAAATACAATTCTTGCAATTTCTGATAGAAAGTGGATGCTATAAGGTTTCATGAAACTGCTCAAGAAAATGTTGAACTAAAAGTCAAGTCTTTTCTGAAAAATGAGCCTCCAATCTGGGACAACTTATGCTATGAGCAGCTACCTAGAAAAATCCCACTTTTTCTATAGGTTGGGATTCTCAGCTCCTTTGCTCACTTACACAACAATTAAATGCCTCGTATACCCTCCTTCTCTATTTCCCCTCTGCCTATATGCCTCATAGCTCTTGCTCTCCAGAATGTTTAACTTCTTAATGTATCTCGCACTGGCAGGGCAAAAAACCCAACTTCGGAGGATAGTTGTCTCTCACCCTCCCTCTCAGAGCCTATCCTGGTCTTCTCCATAACCTCCTCCTAAGTATTGGGCGGCTGCTATCGGGTCCCCTCGAAGCCTGTCCTCAAAGGGAAGTGCTCCAGCTCCCTGGCCAGGCTGGGGACCTGCCTCTGGATCTCCTCCAATGCATGCCGCCTTTGTTTTGCGGGGCCCAAGAACAGGGTACAGGTTATTCCAGATGCACAGTCTAATGAGAGCTGAGTAAGAGGAGATAAACCACTTTCCCCTACCTACTGACTATGCTGCTGTTAACACAGCCCAGGAGGCAGTCAGCCTTCATTGCTGCCTCACGTTGAGCTTGCTGTCTGCCAGGACCCCCACGTCCTTCTCAGCAGAGCTGCTCCCCAGCCTGTATCGTTACAGAGGGTTAGTCCTTCCCACAAGTGGTTAGTCCTTCCCACATGCACGATGTTACATTTGTCCTTGCTGAATTTCATGAGTTCACCGTCAGCCCTCTCTTGCAGCCTGCCAAGGTCCCTCTGAGCAGCAGCCCTGCCCCTGTGTGTACCAGCTGCCCCCCCAAACTTCTTGTCATCTGCAAACTTGAGAGTGCGCTCTGCAATATCCTCCAGGTCATCTGCATGAAGCTGGGCAGGTCCAGTACAGATCCCAGCAGTACCGCACTCGTTAAGGGCATCCCGCTGGAGGTCATCCACCAGGCAGAGCAACTTGGTTGTTAAGGATTTCTGGATATTCCCAGGCTGACGCTCCCATGCCAAGTCCTTGAATTCCTGATCTCTGCCACATCTGGCAATACGGGCTCTTTTCTGTTATACCAGTGCCTGCATGAGAGCCAGTATATTCCCCCTCTGAAGAAATTTAAACATGCAGAGTAGGAGTTTACAGAGTTCCCAACGGAACTTGTAGGAGCTTACAGTTCCCAAAGACTTGCCAGAGTATGATGCCATAAGCAGGCCTGCGATGGCCACCTTCCCTATAAACTACGCCCAGGGCTTTTTTATACGCTACTTCAGTGCAAAAACATGAACATTTAGAAGGAGGAAGGAAAAGAAAAACAATTCAATGTACCCTCAGTACTTCTTCCCTTCTCCTTCACAGGATTTCATGTACAGGAACAGATTGCTATTCCTGTTATTCCCTAGACTAAGAAAGAAAACCTGCATGGTAATACCACTCAAATTCCTGAGATACATGCTCAAGCCACAACCCAAAAGTTCAGCACTGACCTGAAGTACACACATATCTTGTTAAAAATTACTGCCACCCATTTTGCACATAAATACAGGCAAAGAAAATGAAACATTCAGGTATACTGGCATATATAACATAAAAATGAGCAGTTTAATTCTCTCTATAATGTTAAGATCCAAACACAATCTTACATGCTAAGGAGTCTCACAGCCACTATCAAAATTCCCCTTATGCCACTATGCGTTGATTTTATGGCTATAATGAATAAATGAACCAAAGACAGTAGAGGAACTGGCCTGAACCAGAAACTCCAACCCTTTATCATTTACATTCTGAAATAATTAGGACATATGTGGGCAAGATTTGTAGGCAGAGGAAATAATTGTTTATTAGACCAGTTGATATTGTTGAAAAGATAAAAACACGCTTTCAGATGCTTAGCTTTCCTTCTAACCTCTATGCACGCCAACCCTACAAACACACACTAGTTATTCCTGTAGCGGCGGCGAAATTCAATGTTTGTTCGCTTTTTCCACTCATTGAAATATTTACATCTCCAGTACATAGAATTTCCCCAATAAATATCATTCTTTTCTTGTAAAAATACAGGCACAGGCTGCTTAATCAATATTTGCAGCAAGTTGTTGTAGCAACACTGAAAATCCACCACATTTTTTAAAAGGGAAAATCTGATTAGTGAAGTCCAAGCACAACAAACATTGCTTTTAAACATTACTCCATTTAAACAATCCTAACAGTTCACACCTTTTAGAATCATAGAACCGTTTAGTTTGGAAAAGACCTTTAAGATCATCAAGTCCAACTGTTAACCTAATACTGCCATCCCACCACTAAACCATGTCCCTAAGCAAAGGGAGATCTTAAAAGCATGGGAGATGTGTAAATATTTCTTCTGTATATGGCAAATTTCTACTGCGTTTTTGATATTTATACTATCACAAATTCAAATCACAGAAAACCTAGGTAGCGTAGAGTCTTCAATTTCATGTTTTATGGGTGGTTTTGCTTTTTCTGCCTTTTGGGAAGCTACAGAATGATGGCATTGAACGTCTATAGAGTGAGGGATTATTCCTTTGCTTTACATATCGTAGTAAGAGCAGTTAATATTTCATTGCATTACAATGAGTCTGAGACACATCAAGAATGGATTGACAAGTGCAGCTTAAGTCCTAGATCAAAACCCTTATATTCTTCCTAAATCCTAACCCACGTCCCTTCCATTCTGAAAATAAAAGGATACAGAACGCTCCCCTTTTCTCCCTCTGTTCTAGCTCAACCCAAAATTTCTAACTTCTAATGCCAAGAGCACTAAAATGGTCCCTTTTCAAGCTTTTCCTGTGATTGAGCAAACAAGAACAAAATACATTTCTGCTTCAAGTGATAAAAATTGATCAGATTGTACATTCCATCTATGTTCAAAGTGCCAATTGTTTTTGCAAGCATCTAAGATAGAGATGTTTCATTCGTGATTATTTTTTATACAAACAAGATAGAACTTATTAATATGATACTGTCCATCAATTGCTCCTCAGCAAGTTGTCTCTGTTTATTCGCCTACTCTGTGGCATCCCAAACTAAAATTAATATATACACCTTACACCTCTTTTGTTACAATTTTTATCTGCTGAGAGCACATTCATAAACAGTTTCTGTAGAGCAGCTGACACACAATAGCTTGTTCACATGTCACAGCATTCAAAGTTACAATTAAATCATCAGACAACATCCCAGAGAGCCTTGCACTGATAGAGACCTCCAGTGTGCAAGCTGGCCTTTGTCTGCACAAGTTATTCCACTGCTCTGGCACTTGTTTCATATCTCCATTGAGTTGCCCTCAGAATCTGACATAGGAGAGGATGTGCCTCATTTCCTTTGCTGACCACAGAGGGTTCACCGCGAGAATATGCGGCCTCTGGCAACAAAACATTTATTGCAGGGTCCTTTCTGGCATCTCTTTCTTTGGATTTTCTGCCTTGGTACAGTTATGTTTAGCTATGTCAGAGAGGAAAAAGGATGCTAAGTTAAAATCATTATATATATATATTTATATCCAGTTTATATTTAAACTGTTGACATACTGGTTTACTATATAGTGGGGAGTGAGGTGATGGCATGGGGAGAAGCCCTTGCTAGTAATCAAAACCCTGGGCTGTACACACAGGACATTTAATTTGCGGTGTCAGATCTGATACTCTTTGTTTGGTCTTAAAGAAGTAATTTGACCCCTCTCTCATACATATATATATACACACACACACACACATATGTATACGTACAAACGCACACAGAGAAAAATATTTTTCTCCTCCATTTTACTAACAGAAAAGAACATAGTTGCCTTCCAGTAATAGTGCAAAGGTTAATCTACCCCTAAGTTCAGAAGCATGAAAGTACATTGCGGATTTCAAATATTATTAATTCTCACAAACACATTTACTACTGTTCCAACCCTAGGGGTACTGTGTGCTGTTTCCTTCATGAAACAGTTAAAGTCCTCTAAAGCTAAGAGACAACTGAATATGTCAGAGGATTTCCCAATAAGATTAATAGGAAAAGAAACAAAATATAGGACTGTATGACAACGAGCTATTCTTACCAGGTCTACTTTTCTAAAATACATGCCTCTTTACCCATAAAAGCCAGGTGAACCAATACTCCATACTGAAGAATATGTTATTTAGAAAATACTAAAAAATGCAATCACTGGTATGAATTTCAACCTTATATAAACTGTGACTGAGCAGGAAATTGATCTAAAGATGGTTAGATTAATGCTGGAGGAAAAGAACTATTCTCGCCTCCATGCTAGATGCACAGTAAGTGACAAGGATATTTCTTATAAGAAAAAGCATTTCATATTTTGCCGTCATATTCAACATGCTAAATACCATTCCCAGTTTCCTTAAAAATAGTGCTGTGATAAGCTTCTCTGAGGAAAAGAAAAAAAAAGGGGGGGGGAGGGGGAAGCTCCTCTTTATTTTGTTGAATTTCAAACAAGTTTAATCCATTACCTATTTGCTACTCCTTAAGATTGTGACTTCTTTCAATAAGGAAAAGAAAAGATTGCAACTAAAGTTTTAAAGTACATAATTCATTGTAGGCACAGATACTTATAAAAAAATTCCAGGACTGGACACAAAGGTTGACAGATTTTCAACTATCAACTTCAGGAGCCAAGCAAAACAATACATTTATTTGTTGAGCTAGTATGTCAGCCAAGAATGGTTACATTTCTCTCAATCCAAAGGTCATGCTAAGATTTGCTACTTAAGAGGTAACAAGATGCCTGCTGTTTTCAAGGACAGCAATTCAATTCCGTGTGTGAACTGTAATTGTGATATGCAGCGAGTTTCTCAATCTTGACATGTTAGGTAAGAAAGGTTGCTATTTAAGGTGATGCCCTCTGGGTGAGGAAAATTGAAGGACCGGTACACTGTATGACATAGGCTATAAGCTATTACACCTGTATAGCAGCTAGTCCTGAAAGTATTAACAGAGAAGGACGGCATGTGATGGCATTCTGCCTTCTTGATGCCATCTATAGCAATGCTAACAGAAGAAACTCCATATCTTAAAACCAAAAATCTTACTCAAAGATGAATTCAAGTGGTTTCCTATAGCCTCCATAACCAGGTAATTTTGGAAAGCAGTAAGCTGCAGGAGTAGCATACTCATACATAAGACACGGTAGCAGTTTACGTTTACACAACCAAAAGTCAGCACACTGCTAAATCTTGATTTATATAAAACCTAATGCTACTGAAAATTCTTTAAATCTAACTGACTACATAAACATAGAAATAAAAAGCGGAACAGAAGTAATTCCAAATACAGATGCACAAATCTTCATTCTAATCCAAGATATAGAGTAGGTGTCCTAATGTAATCCAAAAATACTGTGACTACAATTCCATATGCATGAAAAAGCTTTCCAAGTGAGAAAGCATGACTTCCAGACTCCGGACAGAATCAAGTCTGTAGTCTGTGACTTTAGCTCCAGCGCTACGTTAACTTGCTGGTGTTTTCAGCTCTAAACACGAATTAAGGAATCATGACCAAAGCCGCAACTGCAGTACACTCTGTTGTTTGGGGTTTTTACTGATTTTAGCAGAGCTGACTCCTTTAACTATAACAGAGTTATTAGAGGGAATCACATAGTGAAACACTTAAGTGAAGATTATTGTGACTTTAGAGTAATGCCATAAAACCCCACAGAATTCAAAAGCTAGAAAAGGAAAAAGATGCAAAGCATATATTCAGTCTTTTTTTCACCAGGACAGATGAATTACTTCAATTTATTTCAGTTTTTAAAAGATCAGTTTTTTAACCTGGTTGAGAACAACATTCCCATTGAAGGAGTATAGTCTTATTCCTGCACTATTTTTCATTTCTAATGAACAAAACCAATAATATTACTTTGAAGTTATTTTATATAGACAGTTTCTGTAATACTTATCACATATTGAGGTCTCTCTGACATTTTTCCCTCCTTCATATTACTCCTCTCCTTTTTATCCTGTAATTTCTGATTTTCCTTTCTTAAGGCATTACTGATTTTAATTAAAAAGCAAAGAAACAAAACCTGTAATATGAAAACCTGGCCAGATTAAGAATGTTTATAGAAATTTAATCCTAATTTTAACACGGTGGCAAACTACAGAACGCTAAAAAACCAAACCAAACCAAAATCAAAACCGATGTTGCTGTGATCCTTCCACAAAGTGCTATGACAACCAGCACTCCCAAAATACAATTTTTTTCAAAAACATTATTTATTGGGCATATATCTACAGAACTCTCATAAATCATCTTAGCTTTTAAAATGCATAATCAAAGGCTTTCCTTCAATATTAGTACACATGTGAAACTGGCTTTAGGGTCTAACTGGCAAACGTACTGATGTCAGCTACTAGCATAATTAGTTTCAGCAGAACCATAAGCAGATATGATTAAACTTTAAAAGGTTTAAGTAATTTTATCACTGTGAAATGCATGTTGATAAAAGCTCTAAGCTTTGAAGATACAAAGCTAAGATTAATAGACCAATTTCTGACATATCATTATTAATTTTTTAATAGGGTAGTGTCCACAGGCCCTTGTCAGAATTGTGGCATCATTACATTAGGTATTGTACAAAGTTCAGAATACATAGGCTCTTTTCTAAAGATGTTAAAAACTGTTTTTTTATGACCTTAAAAGTCATGACTAGTCCAATATTCCCAATATTTAAACAATAACAATAGCAGGAAGCAGAAAAAAGAAAAGGAGGCCAGAAGGATTAACTACATGAATAACACCATGGTTTGAAGAGAAAGGTGTTCGGTTTTTTGGTTGTTTTTTTGTTTTTTTTTTTCTCCTTTTAGTCATAAAAGGAAGCACGGGCAAGCTTTGCTGGCCATCCTGTAAGTGATACGACTAGGTAATCTCCTAATAGTGTCATAGTAGGAACGGGTCTTCCCATTTCACCAGGGAAGAAAAAAGAAGCAAGGCTAGCTGTAAGGGAGGCGTCTATGGCAGAAGAGAAGCATGACAATACCTCCTTGGAAAGACAGAAGAGACGTCAGTTCAGGAAAGTATGTAAATGGTAAGGGACAGGTTAAGCCAAGACAAAGACTTCAGTCCCAAAGAGCCGTACACACACATTTATATACTGGTATTTATGGGCTGCTACTACATGCGTATGTTATAAATTACGGTGGTAAGGCCTCGATGGTTCTCCTTTACCATGGCACCATAGTGGCACAACTCAAGCGTTTTTTCTTGTAGTTTACATGGCCTTGAGTTAGCACAGAAACAGGATCTGGGAATTCTGCATCAGGAGACTGCAGAATTGGTCTTGTCAGATTATTTTAAAAGTGTTTTTTAACTTCAGTCACTATAATCCCATTTGAATTCTGTTGCCTAGACTAGCACCACTATGTATACTAATGGAGCACTGCTAAACTGTAAATTCCTTCTGTCTGGTCCAAGCAAGACAATCGTTATCTGCAGATTGACGTGATAGCATAGAATAATTTAAATAGCTATTCTGCAAACCCATCTTTCCGCTCAAGCAGAAAAGAGAAGGGAAAGAAATGGGTATTAAAACAGACCACAGTTTAAAGTAATGAAACCAACATGCATTTGTTGTTCACTCAAATATTTCTGATCTGACCATCTGGGAAAAGGAAACACAGTACTTTACAGCAATAGGTATTACGGTAGTCCTTACATGCTGAGTTACTGAACTGTCTGAAATGTTTATGGTTAATTAACTGTAAGTTACACTGACAAGTTTCAACATCAGTCATACATACACATACAGAGATATATTTTATAAGGCTACAAAACTGCCTGAGTTTTACTAGCAATAAAAAAATGTCAGCCTTTATCATGCAAGCTACTATTAAAACCATGTGAAAGAGCCAATCTGTCAAAGAAAGGAAAAAAGTATACAGGTCTCATTATTGTGACCAGTCTCAAAAGGCTATTACACTGACATAGTAGTGTTATAATAAAACAAAAGAAAATTAATACACTGAGTCAATACATATATCTGACGGTCAGCTGAAAAAAGAGAAAGAATAAACAGCCAGACAGAACACCGTACCTTTTAGCACTAGTTGACAGTTTAGCAGCTGTTTTGCTTGATATTTTGCCCTCTTTTTTCTTGGGTTGAACTTGCTCCCTTATCCCCATCAGACCTGCCTCCACTAGTGCTTGGACTATCATCAACTCTCTGCCCCTCTGTAGACATGGCAGATGCTGCACTGAACAAAAAAAAAACCAAACAAAAAACCACAAAAACCAAACAAAAGTTAGCATTTTCAGAATAAACTGTCCAGTAGTATTTCTTACATGCCTTAAGGAAATAGCACACGAGGTTTATGTCTTTGTCTTAATACATAAAGCTTGTGTTACAGTACTTCAGTAATCTTAGGACTGAAGACTTTTGCTATAAGCATCTTAAAAATAAATCAGGAGTTGGTCATTTTAAGCCCCATACCAAACAAAAAAACCCCCCTTGTATATATGAAAAGCATAAGTTATTGTAGTTAATGTAGTATGGAAAAAAAGTTATTGTAGTGGGGAAACATAATTCTGCAAGTATAATTCCATTCACTGTGAATGACATTTTTCAGCTAACTCATGATATTGCCGAGCAGTCCTCTCATCACTATGCCACTGGTTCAAATCTAGCATAGGTTGTTAAAAACTGAGAGCTATCACTATCTTAAGACTCTCTGTTATTCCACATGAAATAAATCTGTGGGCTCGTTCCAAGTCTATAATGTGGGTTTCCACATTAGAAAATCCACATCTTGGCATGCTCGATGGAAACATTCACAGAACCAAAAGGCACTAACACAGGACTGTTTGTATTTACTAAAACGGTACGCTTCGAGAGCGGTAAGCACGCTGATAGAGGATGTAAGGAAGTTTATTCCTGACAAATTCTGTTCAGGCAACACGAGGCAACAAAGCTGTCAGAGAACACAAGCGACAAGAAATTTCAGTATATTTCAGAAGTCAAGTTAATGCTTTATTTGCACACTTCTGATACCAGTTAACTATTCTCATCTCTTCCTTCATTTTAAGTAGTATAACAATATGCTGACAGATGAGGAATTACAAGCCCAGTGTTACAACTGTCATGACTTCTCAAACTGTTCTAATGAAGGGCAGATGTCCACGAAAAACTCTTACTGAATGAGCATATGTGGTGGCAATGACTGTTAGAAAATTTTACAAAAAAAAAAAACCCCAACCACCCAAACCCAGAAGGTCTTTCCTTTAGCTCCAGACCTGTAGCTTATATAGGTATTTTATATATCCTCCTCTAAAGATTTTAATAAAAGAACCACCTTCAAAGCACACAGGCCCAAACGTTACTTGCTTACACCCACGCAATCCCCATATATCTGGGTGGTTTTCTGATCAAATCTGTCTGAATCAAGAATTTGCTCTTTCATACACAAAGAGTTTTAAATTGCTGTGAACTTCGACTTGCTTTTCCTTTTACCTATGTACAGACACCATCACAATTAAGAACAAAACCATTCACCTTGACTATTATATGTTTTAATACTCTCTCAAGGGAGAATAATGAGATTGCAGGCTCAGATTCAACCGTGCTCATTCAGTGGATTAAACAAAGTTCATCTCCCTGCACATATTTATGGAAAGAGACAGCAAAGGAAAAGTAAAGTAATGTCAATGCCAACAGGGTTATGTTGAAAAGGACGCTTTTTAAAAAGGCCTTAAGTGTTCCAGTTGTAGCTGCATGTAAGAAACGAAATGTACTCCTATTTGGCAAAAGCCTTACCAAGATCTAATTCCACCAAACAGTACACACCGTGGAGTGGAAGAACTAATCTTTTTGGGCATTATTGATACAATCCGCCTAACTTCAGGAGGAATTAGATCTTTTTTGGCTAGTTTATGAAGCTATATTGAAAAGGAAATCCATGGCATCCCTTCAAAATGTTTAGATGCTAAAAGACACAGCAAGTAATAGCAAGTGACGGATTTGCGACTAGGTTTACCTTAATCAGCTTAAGCTACATTTTGGATTTTATTATGAAAAAGAACATTCTATAAATATATGTTCATATATAAATTTATACAAAAACACAACACCTAGCCTGCTCATTGAAGTAACTGAAATAACGCATAGTTTGCATCCTAAAATTAAAATACAAAAAATTGTTCATTCTTAGAGAGCAGTTTTTCCTACGGTATGGCTACAACATTATATTTAACATAATCCATATATTTACGCAGGTTAATGCTTAGATAGTTACATCCTGGTTGCCAGATTCTAAGATAAAAGCAACAGAAGATTTAAAGGTAATAAAATAAAAAAGTATCGTATTCTGACAAGTCGAAATACACATTTAATAACTGTAACGCAATTTTGATAGTAGGTACCCATTTTCTTTGCTTCTAAATACAGCTAAAATACAATCTCATCTTTTTTTATAACACTTTTGATGGCCTTTATTTACTCTGGATTTTAGTTCTGATCTTTGCTTAATAAATCTAATTTTAAAGAGAAGAACTCTCTTCACAGTGTACATAAGCTTTAACACTGCAGGCCAGAAAGTTAAAAGCATATTTAATAAAGCCTATATGCATAGGACATCTGCTGTGAATAATCTTGGCTATAAATATTGCTATTATCCAAAAACAACTGTATTCACTTCATAAGTTCAGGTTACTATCCAGCAGACAAACACTGTAACAGTAGCCCAGAGCATATAATTACTGTAACATGTAATGCCAGCATTTACAACAGGAAAATGCTTAAATCTGTCATTTGATGTCTGGCTAGTTTCTTGGTTGTTTTTTTTTTCCCCCCTCCCTCTCTCCTTCTCTCTCTATTCCCCTTTCTGACATCCAGGCAGTTCTTTCCTATGCCCTCTCCTTACGGTATCTGCAATTTTAGGACATTTTGCACAGAGCTCAAGGGATGCTCAATATCACGGTAAAAGTGTGTTTTAAAGGGCCCGAAGTTAGACGCTTGAAATGTGGTCAAACTTAAAAAGACAAACACACACATGAACAAATAAGAGAACGGGGGCGGGGGGGATCAACCGAGGGGATGACACCCTTGGGAAAACACTTCACTGCCACGAACACAGAGAGAGAAATACAAGATCCTCCTTGAATCTGGACAGCCATGAGTGCGTTTGCAACTGTCAGACGGAGCGAGGGGAAAGCCACACGATGCCCAGGTCCCCGGCTGCCAGGCTATTCTACATTCAGCCGAGGGTTGCTAACCTCCCTGCGGCTGCGCTGGGAAAAATGAGCAGAGGGGACGGAAGAAGGAGTGAAAGGGGACTTAAAAGTCTCTGCCTTAAACGTGAGATGATTCAGCAGAGACACT